TTTATTCAAAGAAAGAACATTTCAGCATTTCTTTCCAAAATTAAGTTAAAGAAGTGTAATATTGGACGTCGCGAATTTTCTCAATTTGTCACTGACAGTCTGTCAGGACATTTTAACCTACGTTCAACATTTAAATGCCCTTACTCAGATTTTGAAACCAAATTTGAGATTGCTTTTATATAGTAATACAGCAGAGAGAGTAGACAATGATTTCATATAGTCACTTTGAAAAAAATATGTCATATTACAATAGGAACCAGTGTCTGTTTAAGCTCATGTAGAACCCTGGGCGCAGAAGATCTACCGACCCCTTTAACACAGGAGGATCAAAATTTATAACCAGGAAATCTGGCTTTTAGCTTATCCAGGCCCTTCTGAACCACTCCGGACCCAGGCCCCTGGGCGCCCAATGGATAAACCGGCCCTGATAGGAACTGATCAAAAGAGGTCCTAACAAAGATCTTAAAATAAAGTTTAGAAACGGATGTCAGCAATTTTAGCTTTAAAAAGACATGCCTGATATGTGTCGCAAATTATGGAATATCGTGAGAAAGTTTTTAATTGATTTTCTTTGTACCAATCTAAAAAAACAAAAAGAAAGGAAAAGAAAAAAAGAACGGGCACTCATTAACAAAGGAGATTTAGGGTTAAATCTGACTAGATTGTGTTATATATTAAATGTTAAAATTTTTTTATTGAAGCACCAAATTCATCCCTCTCATTAAAAGCATTTGTTTGTTCAGTTATTTTATGTATTAATTTGATTTTAATTTTAATTCATTAACATGCGCTTCTTAAGTTTTAAACACTATACTTCATTACAGTTAGAAATTTAATTCTTTTAAAGTAATATCACCAACTACCAAAAAGACATTTAAGTTGATAAATTTTCAAAAATTTAATATTAGGTAAGCAGGGGTCTACCCGAAATTGGAAAATATGGCAAGGGGTCAACGAGACAAAAAAGTTTGGGAACCTATGATCGATGGGCTTAGCATAACGAATTTCGTCTATCTGGATCTTTTCGTCTCCATGAAAAAGATTAAAGTTAAAGTGTAGTGTGGAAGTTATAATAATGCTCATAATATAGCCCTGATTGTGATACACCAAATAGTGACAGTAATTACAACTTGCCTTATCCTTCTTAGTTATATTTAACGATATAATATTCCCTTCAGGTAGAACCCTACTTTTATTATTCCTTTCAAGCTGATAGTGTTAATAAATGAATCTCTCTCTCTCTCTCTTGAGGTTATTTTCACTAATTTTTTCATGTATTTATTTTCCTGATAATGATCATAATAGAAGTAAAAATATCAGTACTTGTTGCGCTTAAAATCCGCAATGCAAAGTGAAACCAAACTTGATATGCTAGTTGCACTCCAGGCAGTTTATAGTCTGAACATGCCTATTCCCATGAATATCTGAGGTATCTCACATTTTCTGCTTTTGAAGTTTTAGTATGAAATGGATATGACCACGTCTCTTCAAAAACCACGCGATATAATTTATGCGATGTATTTTAATTTGACTTTTTAAAGTAAATAATTTATAAATTTTTCTTTAATCTTTAATGATAAAATATGATTTTCAAAAGAATTTCTAAAAACTGGATATTGGAACAGACATTACTATCAGTTTATGTTGTAAATGGAGCCCGACAGGGCTAAGTGCACATATCCCAACATATACCCACAACACCAGATCAATAATCAGTACATGTACTCCAACAACATTTCAACTGTTTTCTTTTCCATTGAATGCTACAAAAAAAAAGTTGTGGAAACGAACGAAATGCACGTTCTTTTACAGCGCACTTTCCTCTAAATTCAAAGATTACACCAAAAATTTGCATCTTTGTTTGGAAGCATCAGTTTTATCTTTCGTTCAATACATTTCGAATAATTGGATTAAATGTGTAAACTCTCCAAATTTTGAGCGTCAGAACATATTCTGTTACAGTCGGCTGATTTAATTTGAATTTTTTTTTTATGAACGTAGAATTCTACGGCAACGCGATCGCTATTGGAGATGAACCTCGGTCAAGTGATGGGGACAGCATCAGAGCTGGCACCCCTCTCTCCGAAATACCACACCTCGCCAACGTGAGGATTTTTAGCCTCAACAAGTTCAAAGTACATCAGTTTCTTGAAACGGCAGGTCTTCGGTGGCACTAAGACTTGTGATTCTGTCGGGATTGTAATTGTTTTAATGATTAATGTTAAAGGCATCAAGCTAGACTTATCAATCAATAATTTTTTGGTCAAAATACTGAATTTTCGGAAAGGCTGGTTTGTTTACATGATTTGTGAATCCAACACCTTTGAGACTAATCTAGGACACATAAGTTGCACCTCTAAATTCCCCTCCCCAGGATCGCTTTTCCACTTAGGCACACTAGGGTGCAAAAAATTGGAAAGCGAAATTTTTTCTTTTATAATTACAGGGAACGTACCACCACCCAGCGAGTTATAAGAGAAGCATTTCTGCTTTTAAGAGAGGAAAATGAAAAGCCTACTACGCGGAAAATGAAAAGCTTAGCAGTTTCATGTTGCTATACACTCAAAATGATGTTACCATGGAAATTGATTACAATGATGTTATTAACTGTTTTGCAATGATCAAAGCTCGAAAAAAAAACCTTTGTTGAACCAGTATTAATGACAGTGAGTGAACAAAAAATAAGGATGTCGAAAAGTAAAAGACAGTAAAGCGATAAGCGCGCGATGAAAGGATGAGAATTATAACAAGTTGAAAACCGTTGATACAATAATGTATCTCTATACTGTAATTTCAAATGATTTCATCAAAATATGCTGTATTAATTTACAAAAAGGTGGGTGGTCCGTAATGCCGTTAAATTAAGAAATGATTAAGAGTGGCCAAACCATACCACTACAGTAGAACGTTGTTTATCCGAACGTTTATTATCCGGAGCGTCAAATATCCGAACCAAATTCCGGATACGTTTTCGAACAGTGCAACACTAAACAGTTGTTTCGCGTGAGTCCAAAAGTGACGGGAAAATCTAAGATGAGGGATATTTGGAGAATTTCAGTTCTGGGTGATTTGGTAAACATCTACGCGGAATATTAAGTCAGATTGTTTCCAAGTAAAGGGTGTATACTTGCTGTTTTGTTGATGTAGAAACCAGGATGGCATGCGATGCAGAAGACTGAATTTCAAATGCTAAATGATGACGAGATTGTGACTTCCGTGCAAGAAAAATCCGACCCTGTCGACGATGAAGCGGATGAAGATGACGACAACAACAACAACGAAAGTAGGAAGGTCCATCAAATGCTGACGCGTTTCTGCGTTAGAGACAGCTATGGTGTGGTACGAACAACAATCAGACTGTTGTTCTACTCAAATACTGCTGCTCAAGAGAATCAGAGACCTTGCCGAGAAAAAACGAAGGTGTACAATGGTACAGCGAAAAATAAGTGATTATTTTCCACAATAAAGGTTGTGCGACATTTTGCACATATTTTGCTTTTTCTTCAAGCACGTTTCCTACATGTAATGATTTTCAATATTCGTATGGTGTCTGGTTTCATATACTGCATGGATCGCATTCGGTTATCCGAACAATCGCGTATCCGAACGGTGTCCGGTCCGAATTGATTCGGATAAACGACGTTCTAATGTATTCTTTCCTTAGGACTGTCAGTCCATAGTTGGTGGATAACGGAAAGACTATTCAAACAGCAAAAATAATGAAAAGAGAAAGAGTAAGAGAGTGAAGGGAAAATCAACTCCCGAAACAAAACAGGAAAAGTAAGAACTGAAGGAGAAGGGAGGTGCTCTGTGGAAATAAGCCCCCCCTAACTATTGAATTGCCTAGGGCATCAGGGTGGTAAAAAACGGCCCTAAAGCCCCCTCCCAGATTTTATAAAGAACTGCAAAACAAGAATTATTCCAAGAGTAGTGTCTCCTTAAATACACACACATATATATATATATATATATATACAGTTAAAGTTGAGTCAGGGAGTTTCAGGATTGGTGCAAAATAAATATATGTATTTTTAGTCTCTATTGTTAAAATGGCCAAGGATTTCAATAGAAAAGCATTTGCTGCATATAAAGGAATAAACTGATTATATACAAATATGGTGACTCTGGATTTTCTTAATTTCAAACGAATTTTTATAATTTTTCCTTCGTTATTTAAAATCATAAATTTTAGTCACATGTTGATAATTCAATTCGCAATAAACTTACAGTGACTAGAATGTAAATTTCGTATATTTAGGATGCATAATTATATTATACTTTTCCCATTTTTAAAAAAATTTTTGCTATTGGTTATTTTGCAGGGATTTATGTTAGATTTCCAATGGGTTGATTATGTAAAGAAGACTTTGGAATTCGAACAAGAAATTCGATGGCTAGAATTATTTAAAGTGAGTTTATGATAATTCAAAAGTTTAAAATATTTGTATAATTGAATTTTGTTCCAGATGTTATTAACAACACATAACAAATAAATAAAACTTTACACCAATTTGTAAATAAAGGAAATGATATTAACAGATGAGAGATCATCAAATTTTATGTACTAAGTAATGTAATATGTGTATAATTATTCTATACTCCGAGAGTCGTATGCAACCTCATTGGATAATGCACGAAAGACTCAGAGCATCTACTAGTTTAACGTGGAACACAACTCTCTCCTCTTTGCAACTGTCTTTAGTAACAAGTGATATAAAAATAAAAAAAGTTAAGTCAATTCCTATATGGGTCAACAAAGAAAAAATGTATTTTAGTTACTTTTATTAAATAGTTACAATTAATATTAATATGAATATACATATGACAGAATCACAATATTAAGTGACAAAATAGAAAGCGATTTTCCTTGCACAATAATTTTCCATTCTATATATGGTGTTGGACTATTTTTTGTTTGTTACTATTTATTCAATAATTAAATTTAATTATTCTAATAAAATAGTATAATAAAAAAGAAATCACATTCTCAGAAATAAGGCCATCCCAGGTGGGATTCGAACCCACTACCTTTGGCTTCGAAGTCCAACGCACTACCCGTTGCGCTACAGGGACACAACGAACGATTTTCCTTTTTATATATGCTGGACTATAATTTTGTTACTTTTTAAATTTAATTAATGAATTAATATTTGGAAAAACTGTGTGTGTGTGTATTAACACCAAGTGTCATCCACTACAAGTTTAAAAAATGTATTTGAACTTGAATGGATGAAGAAAGTATTTTATTAACGATTGAAAATTTGAACACACAAAATATATAAAGGGAGAGAGTGAACTAATAAAGTAGGAATTGGAAAAAGTAGGACTTGAACAGTGAATCCACTAAAACAGGAGTCAGCAAACCGTGGCTCGCGAGCCACATGCGGCTCTTTTCCTAGATGGCTGCGGCCTTTTAGATTTATGAACTATTCAACAAATAATTATATCTATTAAAAATTGTTTTCCTTCATAATTATGTACTGAAATGATTTACCTTATTTGTGTCTACAGTTAAACATTTGACTGGCTTAAGATTTCTCCATTAATTTTTGCTTTTTTCATTAAAAAAGTGTATTGAGAATCATTGAAAACTTAAACAGCGCTAAAATTCTAATGTGCTGGTAGAAATACCGCTATGGGAAGACACTCCTCTAAGCGATGTTCTGTAACGTTTGCATGTATGGATTAGGAAGCATTACTGAATGTGAGCAAGTGATAAACAAATTCCAAACAGAAGAGACAATAACATGTTTCGTATTTAGTGACATGCTTTAAGGCGAATAAAAAGAGTTGAAATGACTTTTATATACGGGAACGATAAAAGACAATTTTATAATTTGTGTAAACATACATTTCAAAATGAAGTTCTTACGGTCCATTGGTTGGGACATTTTTTCCAAGATGCTTGTAAATTTAATTACCAACACCATGACATTTGACTATTGCTCTAGCATTGAGCCTCAGAATTAAAAAAAATCTATCTTAGATAATTCTTGGTTTTAAAAAGAATGGAAATTGTTATTCTGTGTGTAAACCTTCATTTAAATATTATAAAAAAACATTAATTGTGGTGCTACTACGAGTATGATGTCATAATGACTATCGTAGCCTGTACATATAAGGGTTGTTTTATCCAATTATACATCTTGAATCTTATCAAATAAATGGCCAGAAAATTAAAGCCTTTGAATTCCAATATTTATAAGTATTTGGTAAATCTATTATTAGAAAGTATGTCCTTCATTTTAATAGATATTTCTATAACAACGGTTTAAAATGAAATGAAAAGTAATGGAATAATTTTTAAGTAGATATCCAAAAGATGAGTTAATTCACGTGTAATGACTCAAGAAAGTGAAAGAGCAGCAAAAACTATTCTTTATTTCACCATTAAACAAGATATTATAAAATTTGTCTTCGATGAACTAACTGAGGTGTTAACTCACTGTGAAGACTTCATTAAAATGTGGAGTTACTCCAAAATTTAATCATTCCAATTCCAGGTGTTCAAACTCAATTTTACGGATGACATTAAGAATTTAAAAGAGCATATGAGGCCATTTTCTAAAAAGAGTAACGGTCAAGTAGTTTTTGATCTTAATGGCGCTTTGGATGGTTTTTTGCATTTTGTATGGTTAAAGAGGTTAGTTAAAGACAATTTTTTTACCCCTATTAAAAATACAACTGTATTTCCCTCCGATTGACATATTTTCATTTTAGACATTCACACAATCTGGATGATTTGTTGGCTCAAAAACCACCACTAAAAATCCATGAAGAATTTTGGTGTGATGTCGATCAAAAAATACCCAAAACTCTTCTATGGGACAGCGTATTCGAACTGTTGGAAAAATATAAGTAAGACTCTTTCAATTTTATTCTCTTCGAAAATATTTAACAACTGCAACACTAAACATTCAACAATCTTATTACCTCCATTATAGTCAATAATGAATTTATGATATCCGTCAGAGAAAATCTAGAGCTTTTTACAATAGGGAAACATATTATGCTGTCAACCTGATTTTAGAAAAGGAAGTGTATTCATATTACAATATAAATGGCCTCAATTAAAACAGTATTCAGGGTTGAATCCAAATTGGATTTGTAGGGCTCAAAAATCGATTTGTGAAGAGTGCAAAAAAAATTCTTTATATCATTTTAAGACATAAAAGTAATTAAAAAAATAAATATTCATAGGACCGCGAGAGTGTAAATCAAAAATATATATATAGGCATCAGAAATTTTGTGAAAAATGGGTCTGGAAATGTCTTATGACAAAATATTTCTATTCGACACTGAAAAGAGTTATATTTGTGTCGCACTCTAAAGCTGCACGAGAGCTGTTGCCTCGACACAAAGATTTTTTCGATTTATAACACCACCATGTTTGATCAAACTAATTTTCCAGGGAAAAAATTATCTAGAATCTAAAAATTTCAGTATATTGAAGTTTTTCTTTAAAAAAAAAGGGGGAGTGGAAGATTATGTTAAAGGTCTAAAATGATCATTAGAAAATTCTAAGAATGTGTCCAACTTATGGATTGTTCATTAAAATCACACTTTGAAGCACCCAGAAGGTTAATGGTGATTAGTCTTGTAATTTCGAACTATGGTCGAGAGACGATAATATTTGACACCATTTTCCCAACTTCCACACCAGACCAATGCGAGGGCTTGAACCTCTGTACATAGGTCTTTAAATTGCAAGAAGTAGCATCATCCATTTCCCCACTAGGTTATCAGCCATATCAAATTCATGGGAGAAAGGAAGTCATTTTGGTTGGAAATCTTGTATTTGCTGGATACTTAATAATAATCATTCAACCTACACACACAAATACAATTTATTCAATAAAAGGGGAGCGGAATTAGTGACAACTTTTTAAGATACTTTGATTTTCTAATTTCGCGAGAGATCCCTTTATCTGAAATTCAGAAGCAAGAAATCAGTCTCTAAATTGAACTATTTACTTAACATGCATAAATTCATTTACTATTCTTGAAAGTGGAAAAATATGAGGATAACCTTTCAATCAAATGTGGAAAAAGTATGTTAATTCATTTTAGGTTTACCTTTGAAATTGATAAAACACAATTTAAAAACATTCTTTACTCAATTCCATATGAAAAAACAAAATAGCAATGCTGATAATGTGATTTTTTAAATTAACATTCAATGCCCTTTGAGCTATCATTAGTAATTATTTTAAGAAACTGCAATTCTCTATACAAGGACTTGCAAAACAGTTAATTTATAATTTTGCACGTATCCATTACATAGGTTTTTTAGCATAAAATGATCCACTTTTGTTCCTGCTAATAGCAATCCAGAAACCTTGGTTCCTAATTTAAAAAGACAAATATTACCCCCCCCCCTTAACTAATGTTTATTTTATGAATCTAAAACATTAGTTCGAAGATCAAGGTACTTCATTTCATAGAGCAAAAATGTAGCATCCAATTAGTTAATGTTAACAATTTTTTCCCAAAAAAAATCATTAAAATAATTTCCATCCAATTAAACAGTAATCCAAACAAAAGATTTTATTAATATTTTAACAACACCAGAGCTGTATATAAAGGGCTTTAGTTTTTTTTACAAAGATGCTATATTTGTTTTAGTAAATAAAAATTTTATAACTTAATTTTCAGCGATTCTTTGCAGTCCCGTAGAAGACTTCTAGCAGCAAGATCTGAAATGGTGATGGAAAATGAAGAACTTGACAAATATTTACAAAATTATTATTGTTTTGAAGTCCCATCTGAAAACTAACTTGGACAACTAAAACTTTCTCAAAATGTTTCAAACGAAATCTGTGTACAAATATCAAACTAACAAATTTCAGATCAGGATACAAAAAAAAAAATGGTATAAAAGTCTTTTATTTTAAATATTACTTAATTGACAAAGTACATAAATTAGTTTTCATATATCCAGGATTCAAGAGCAGTTTTGTATTGTACCAATTCTTCATCTTTGAACCATAATGCTATTTCCTTATCAGCACTTGGCACTGAATCAGATCCATGGATGATATTCCTGTAAAACAAGTAAATATGATTAACAATTAAGGCAATACAAATTTCCTATTATATTTTATCAAAGGAGAAAGTGTAAATAATAAATATTCTTTTATCGTGTAACATAATGATATAAGATACTTTTAATGTGTAATTTTTATGCATAGAATTAAAATACTAACTTATTGAGGACCAGTCATTTCCTAAACTATTATGCGAAGGGTTTACATTTAAAACACATTGAATAAAAGTGCCAAGGCATAACCCTTGTGCTGAAAATCCTTGCCCTGTGTTTTCTACTTACGAGGATTAATATTGGAATATTAATCCTCTAACTATTAACTACATTTTTCAAATAAAAATCTTAATTATTTCATCAAGGATGGATGATGGCCACATTGTGGAAATGGAGGATATCTGAGGGCTACACTTTTTCAAAATAGTTGCATTAATTAAATTTGCATCTAAAACAGTATAAATGTTCCCATAAAATCAAGAAAAAAAATAGTGGAAGTTTTCTTCATTTATTTTTATTATGCTTATTTCAGACCACCCATAAATGCAGGCATATTTAATTTAAGAATCAGTTTAATGAGACAAATGTACCCCCTCCCCATCGCACTTTTCCATATTTTATTTAAAATCAGGAGTGAGATAGCTTGTATTGAAATTCTCATTACAGCCTGCAAGTTTATGTCAGTGAAGTTGCATCGATATTGAGTCTTGTTGATCTTCATGCGAAGAAAACTGCTCATAAATATGGCTTTTCTGGCTATCTTGACAGGCTGCTATTTGCCCAACCCTTAAGTAGAAACCCGAAATATGAAAGGAAATTGAATATCAGAAAAATAAGCAATCTATCGATCAATTGCTAGATGCTTTGAAGTGCAAAATCTATACAAGGATATCAACAATGAATTTCATAAATTTGAATTACAGCCAAAAATGAAGATTATGGCTGAGCTGGCAACCTACTTTCTAAACTTTTACATAATTCCAACTTAAAAATTTTGAACCTTAAGAGATTCAATATGCACCAGCCTTTCAA